CCCGAAACTTGCCCCATTTGGCTCCAAATTGAGTCGATAGTTGTGCTCCATTGTGAACTGGAACTACGTCAGAGTGTATACTTTCTAGATCCACATAAGCCCTTTCAGGTTGTAGTGCACCATAATACATTTACCAACTGAGCTGACAGTATGCACAAAAAAGAAGCAAAGTTCACAGTCGTTTAGACTCGTGATAAGTGTTGATGGTTCGGGGTGCTCTAGTGTGGTTTGCTCCTACTTTCCTATCAACCATCTATCATCCTTATTTCCCCTCCTTTTTTGTCTATTGTAAACACTTCTAATCTTCGGCACTTATGAGGCCACATCGTGCCATAAAACCATAACCAATGTCTTTATATTTTTGTCATCCTGTATCTTTATCGTGCAGAAATCCACCAAGTTCCGGCAGATGCTGTTGTCATCTGAGCTGGAATTCATTATGGAGGCTCACAGCGGCATCAGCGCCGTCATTGCTGAGGAGGCGGGTAAGTGGATGGGAAGGGTGGTCGTTGTTGTTATTGTTGTTGTTGCTGTTGTTGTTGTTGTTGTTACATTTGCTTTTGCTTGTAGGTTATCATGGGGTCTGACAGGTGGTGGTAGAGGTATGATGGTGATGACGATGATAATGATATCAAACCACCACAAACAATGACAACAACGACGAAGAAGCCGAAAAAAACAACAACAACGAAACACCACCCCACCCCACCTAACCCCACCCCACGAAGAGCAACAAAATCAAAATGAAACACACTCATACAAAAACAACACCACCCCACCTCCTATCCCCCACCCCCCAAAAAGAAAAACAACATAAAACAAATAAAACAAAACATAAGCAAACTACTTTAACTAATTAAACAAACAATTTACACATCCACGTAAAAACCCACAGGCTTCAAAGGCATCTGGGCCAGCGGCCTCTCCATGGCAACCCAGCTGGGCGTCCGTGACAGCAACGAGGCCAGCTGGACCCAGGTCCTGGAGGTGCTGGAGTTCATGAACGACGCCATCGACGTGCCCATCCTGGTGGACGCCGACACCGGCTACGGCAACTTCAACAACGCCAGGCGCCTGGTCAGGAAACTGGAGGACAGGGGCGTGGCTGGTGAGTTTGTACAGCTGATTTGTGTGTGTG